TCCGATACCGGGGCGGTTCCCGAGGAATGTTTGCATGTTTCCGGATTTCGGTCTGATGCCGGGCGGGGCATGAGGAATGTGTATATGTTGTAGCTAAGTAGTTATGCCTATGTTATGTGTTTTGGTAGTTATGCTCACATGTATGCCGAGCTTTGCTCGATGTCCGGTGGGACCCGATGCCAGATGCGGTCTGATGCCGGACGGGGCCCGATTCCAGGTAGAGCCTAATGTAGCAGGGCGGGGCCCAATGTATGTGATATGCGATTATGTGATTATGTGTGGTATATGTTAGTTTGGGGAGACTCACTAAGCTTCGTGCTTACAGTTTTCAATTTTGGTTTCAGGTACTTCCGGTAGCAAAGGGAAGAGCTCGGGATAATTGCAGTGCACACACCATTCGTTCAGCCTGGGATGTTTTAGACTCTGATATTTTGACACATGGTTTTGATACAACATATTGATATGATGATTTTATGATACACTACTTATGTTTTAATGAGATGATGGATGGTATTTATGGTTTTATGAATAATTAAAAACGAAATTTTTGGACTGTATTTTTGGGATGTTTCACTATGCTTCCTAATAATTGTATTTGACAATGAGAATTTGACAAGATTTAATGCTATGAACTATATTTTGGTGATTTAAAAATGAAAAAAAAAATGTTTGAAACTTTTGGTTGTTACAATACGAGCATGAAAGACTGGATTAGCAGAAAGGTAGGCTGCGCCAAGATTGTCACACCACAAGACGGGGGTTGAGGGACTTTCAACACTAAGTTCACGAAGAAGAGCTTGAAGCCAGGTGAGCTCGACAACCGTGTCAGCTAGGGCTTTATATTCAGATTCTATGGAAGATCGGGAAACAGTACGTTGTTTTCGTGCGGTCTAAGAGATTAGGTTGGAACCAAGATATATAGCAAATCCCCCCATGGACCGACGATCATTTGGGTCACCAGCCCAGTCAGCATCCAAAAAAGCAGTCAAATTGTCGGTTCCCTGCCAGTAAGAGTCAGTAAAAGCCTATAATTGGGTGTTGGAGGTTTGGCGAATTAACATGCCATAAGCAACAGTGCCATGAAGATAGCGAAGAATGCGCTTGACCGCAGACCAATGAGTGTCAGTTGGAGCATGCATGAACTGATACACCTTGTTTACTGCAAATGTGATATCGGGCCTGGACAATGTAACATATTGAAGGGCTCCGACGACCTGGTGATACCGTACATGATCAGAGTAGAGAGGATTGTCATTAGTTGCCAAAGGAATGGAGGTAGTCATCGGAGATGGAGTTGGTTTTGACTTTGACAGGCCAACCTTTTGTAGTAGTTCCATAATGTATTTCCGTTGAGAGAGGATGATGTCAGAACCCTGGGGAACAATTTCAGTGTCTAAAAAATATGAGAGATTGTCGAGATCTTTAATGGCAAATGTGACACTGAGTTGTGTAATAATTTTGTTGATGACATCATTGTTTTTACCCGTGATGATGATATCATCAACATAAATTAACATGTAAATAGTGATGCTGGTGTGGGAGTAAATGAACAAAGAAGGATCGGTTTTGGAGCCTTTGAATCCGAGAAGATGAAGAGCTTGTGTAAGTCGTTGAAACCAAGTTCGAGGAGCCTGCTTAAGACCATATATCGATTTGTGAAGTAGACATACATGGTTCGAATGCTTTGGGTCAATGAAGCCTGGTGGTTGCTTCATGTACACAGTTTCAGTGAGTGTGCCATGCAGAAAGGCGTTATGAACATCAAGCTGTCGAAGGGACCATTTTTGGGTAATGGCAAGAGAGAGTACCACTCTAATGGTTGTATATTTAACTACGGGGCTAAAAGTCTCGTGATAATCTATGCCCGGTTGTTGACGAAAACCTTTTGCAATAAATCTTGCTTTGTAGCGAGTGACATCACCTTGTCTCGCTTTAACCTGTAAACCCACTTGCAATCAATAATGTTAGTATTGGGTACCGGAGGTACCAGTGACCAAGTGCCATTTTTTGTAATGCAGATTACTCGTCTTCCATGGCTTTGCAAGTGCCCTTTCAACCGAGTGCCATTTTTAGGTGTAGGTGTAGGTGCTGATGTAGGTTGGGAGATAGGAATCATGGATGGATGGGGTGAACTCGAGGGTTGAGTGTCGGGTGGGTAAGGTTGAATATGATTCTTGGCAAGAGGAAAAGAAGATTCATCGAAGCGGACATGACGAGCTATATAAATCCGATCAGAAGATAAGTCAAGGCATCTGTAGCCATGATGAAATGGGCTGTATCCAAGAAAGAGACAAGGAGTAGAGCGAAAATCCATTTTATGAGGATTATAGGGTCGTAGGTAAGGAAAGCACAAACAATCGAACACTCGAAGGAACGAGTAATCAGGTGGGCGTTTAAAAACATGTTGGAATGGAGACTCGTTGTGGGATGTGCGAGAAGGCATCCTATTGATGAGGTAAACGGTTGTTTCAAAGGCAAAATGCCAAAAGCGTTGAGGAGTGCTAGATTGTGCAATTAAGGTAAGACATGTCTCGACGACATGTCGGTGTCGTCGCTCAACAAAACCATTTTGAGCAGTAGCATGGGGGCATGATCGTTGATGAACAATGCTAAGTGATGCAAGGAAAGAGGAGGTGTTGCGAAATTCACCACCCCAATCAGTTTGAACTTTCTTTAATTTTGTGGAAAACTGTCGTTCAACTATGGTGACAAAAGTTTTGAAAAGATTGTAAACATCAGATTTTTGAGACATTGAAAAGAGCCACATATATCTAGTATGATGATCAACACACAAAAAAAGTAACGATGGCCATCTGATGAAAGGACAGGAGCGGGACCCCAAACATCACAATAAACAAGATCTAATATATTATTGCTTCGAAAAGAAGAAACAAATAAAGATAGTTTTGATGATTTTCCTAGTTGACATGAAGAACAGAAACTTTGGTAAAGTTTTATTTGTAACAGGAAGCGAAAAACTAGAAATCATAAATTGAAAAAGACGTTGGTGTGGATGCCCGAGTCGTCTATTCCAAGTTGTGGAAGATGCACGAGTTGCAGAGAAAACTTGGTGATGAGTGGATCGAAGTTGTGGCAGACAAAGGGAATAGAGACCTTGCTCACTGGGGCCCATGAGAATTATAGTGCGTGTAAGCTCGTCCTCAACAACAAAAAATATAGAGTGAAATTCAAAGAAAACATTATTGTCAATGAAAAATTGTTGAACAGAAAGTAGATGTTTTGTGATGTTGGGTACGTGAAGAATTTTTTAGAGATGAAACATTTTATATGGTAAGTGAAAGCGAGATGAACCAATATGAAGAATAGTGAGTCCCTTACCATTACCGACATGGAGGTTGTCATGGCCATGATATGCGCGGTTGTCATCCATGCTTGCTAGATCCGACGTTACATGGTTGTTGGCACCGGTGTCGGGATACCAAGTGGTTGATGTGGATGGTATGGAGGCGAAGCTGTCAACAAAGTTGGTTGTAGGCCTTTTGCGGATTGTGGAGGGATCACGGTTGGGGCACTGAGATGGTAAGTGACCAATACCACAACAGTTGCATGTGCCAAAAACAGTATTATGGTTGGAGGCCCAACTGAAGGAGCGAGTACTATCACCATGATTGTTGTTACTGTTGCTGTTGTTGGTGCCACGGTAAGAGCCACGTCGCCCTCTGTTGTTTCCAGGGTCGTAGGTGGGGGGTTGTCGAGAACCATATAAAGCTTGAGAGGTGGCTGGTAGTGTGCTAGAGGGCGAGATTAGTTGAAGTTGGAGACCAAGAGCAGAAGCTATCGGTCCTAGTTGATCAGCGAGAGAAGCCATCAAATCATTGGTGTGTTTGGTGGGTTCTTGAGTGACATGAAAGGCTTGAGTGGAAGACCGTCAGGATTTTGCAATCATAAAGTCATGATCACTTAACAATGCGTGAAGTTCAGTGAAGGCAGTGGGACATTGGCGGGCGGTGATGGTGGACTTGAGACCATTGTATTCATCGCGAAGACCAGAAACAACAAGCATGGCATGGTCTTTATCCTTGACGGTTCACCAATGGCGGCTAGGGCATCAGCATAATCTTGTGCGCGGTTAAGGTAGGCATCAGGAGTTTCATCTCCTTTCATCTCAATCCGCAAGAGTTGAGTTTTCAAAGTGTATTCTCTAGAAGATGAATGTGGTGCAAAGGCACGTTCTAGAGAGGACCATAGATCATAAGAAGTGTCACCTTTTACATGAGGGAATGCCGATTCAAATCGAGTAATTTGGATTGTCTCGTGGTTCTAGTTTGGGATCAGCAGCAGTGGCAACAACAGGTGGGATTTGTTTGGGTGGGCATGGAATTGTGCCATCCACATAATCGAACAACTTGTGTGCAAGAAGAAAAGGAAGAATCATATTCTTCCAGTAGCCATAGTTGGTTGGTGTGAGGTTGAAGGCAAACTTGTGAGAACTTGACATTGACATCACAAGAATTTTGTTTTTTCTAGACTTATTTTTTGTTAATATTTATATGAAATAATTTAGTTTTATGATGTTTATCTATTTATTTACATGTTTTTAATTTTGAATATATGTAGTCGAAAGCTTTAAAAAAATGAGGCCGAAGGTTTGAGGCTTTTAAAGATTAAATTGATTTAATCTTATTTTTTAATTTGAGAATAGTAGTTTAGTAATATTATATAATATTTTAGATTTTAGATAAATTTTTCAATATTAAATTGGTTTAATCATAGTTAACTGTTAGTTGGATATATTTAAAATTTTTAAGAATATTAATAAAACTTTGTTTTTTTTTATTTTATCAAGTGACTTGAAAAGATATGAGTCCGTATCTGTTCGAAGAAGAAGACCCGTAGACTTTAAAAAATGTTGACATAGACAAAAACAAAAAATTCTTATTGAAGGAATAAACAAACACCTAAGTGATTAAAGGTCAATCCATACTTATGTAAATATGTAATAGTAAAGGGATCTGTTTTGTAATTATTCCATAACAAGAACACCTCCACCTTCTTATCTCTACTTCTGTTTCTGTCCAACGGTTTTCCTTTCCACCTGCAGTAGCAGGAGGAGGATGTATCTCTCGTGGCAACTGCCCACTACCCCCTTTAACCCCTTGTCATTATCAATAAAACCCTACAAGTATATTCCCTCTGTTTCTTCTACTTTCTGTTGTCTTTCAAATGGAGGAGAAAAGGTTAATTCCACGAAAAATGGATATGGTGGTGGTGGAGTTCATGTGCCGAGACAGAAGTACATCGCGATTTCGAAATCGGAGCTCTTAGACGCAATTGTTACGATGTTTGATTCACGGAAAGAGAAAGATGAATTCCTTTTAATGTCCTCGTAAGTTGGTTCTGAAACTTTGTAGTCTGATTTTAGCTTTTGCTGCTGCGATTGTTATGATTATCAATTTCGAAATGAAATTTTACATAATTGTTGCGACAATATACTTGGTACATTTTAAGAATCACAACACTGATAGTATGATGTATCAGAAAACGTAGTGGGAAGAACAGGGAGAGTAGACTGAATAGAAAAGTGGGAAGGAAACAAAAACCGATATTTCTTATCCCTAATTTTAGGCCTTTTGCAATTTAAAATTGATAAATTATCATAAATAGTTTTAGTTTGTTCTATCTATGCTCCAAAGAGTGATGAATAAAGGGGTTAAATGCTTGTTTATGCAACAATGTATCACTTTTTGTTTTTCCCAATTTATGCAACAAAGTGGTTGACCAGAATATGAAACATTCTATTTCTAGCATGCAACTACTTTTTCACATGACATAGCAGTGGTTAAATGTTTATTTAATCAACACTTTCACATTTTTCACCAATTTTGTATAACAATGTTTTGTTTTTTTTCCTACCAATTTATGCAGCAATGTTTCAATTTTTTTACATGCAACTGGCATGAATTATTCAGAGGAATCTGATACTTGTTAATATTCCAAAAATATAGCATTTAGATTTTAGTTTCTCCCTATGATATCATTAACTGGTTATTTTCAATTTCAGGTGTCTAGACTCTATCTTACATGCAGAACATAAAAGCATTTTAGAGGAAATGCGAACTGATTATGATCTTACTCATTCTGCTAATCATAAATTAACCAATCATGAAGATGCTACTTCTGAAGGAAAGGATTTGACCATTGACCTGTCAAACATTTTAGGATATTCAACCAAAAATATAGAAACTTGTCAAGACATTTCCAGGTTTGTGAATGTCATTTGAGCTATTAAAAAGTAGAAGAAATAGCAACGTGTGATTTAGTTAAATTGATTTATTTGATGTTTGGATGTAGAGTTCCAGTTGACACACGCTTCCAACGTGCTTTCATTCAACTACTATACAATGCTGAATTTGAAGAATTATCGGCTGCTGATTTGATGCTGACATCAGCATTAAATACTGATTATCTACTCACTCTCCCAGTTTATGTTGATTGGAAGAAAGCATCAGAGTCTAAAGCAATCATTTTCAGGTCAATATTCATGATTTTATCTGTATGCTATGGTTCTATGTTGACATCATATTAAACTGTTACTGAACCATTTACATGATAATTATTTCACTCTCCTAAATGATAGTTGTAAAACAAAATGATACAAGAAAATATTTATTGTCCTAATATTAATCCTCTTGAACTATACGTTCCCTAAAATTTTCATAATAAACATAGAGCATTTATTTAAGTTACTTGTTAAACCTTGATTCCTTGTACGTAATTGTTTCTACATTGTAGCTTATTTTGCATACTTGTTTCATTATTCATTCTTTTCATGTGCATCAAGTAGCCCCTTTATGATTTCTAGATGGAGCTTGTAGTGAGTATAAGGTGAGTTACTATCAACTATCAAGCAAGATGAACTTTAGGCCCCATTGTTACACAAGACACAACATGACATAACAAGTTGTATAGATTTTGGCATGCATTCTGGTTGGTGATTTTAGTGTCACTTGACAATTTAGTGTTATTGGAATTTATACGAGTGCCAAAGGGATTTAGACTATTACGTGGTGTGGAGTGCACACTTGTGTAAGTGATTTCCGAAAGGTTTGTAAATGATTATAACTACCTAGTATGCATGCAACTTCCCAATCCAAAAACTGTCATTTTGTCATTCTTATCCTGTTTATGGGAAATGTACGTATAAATATCAATGATATACCATTTTCTTTTTTTTTTTGCTCTCCTAAGATTTGGAACATTCCTAATATGGATTTGGTTATTTGATTCTTATATACTTATGCGTTTGAATTTATACGGCAACCCTACTTTGTAAAGGCCATTAAGGTTTTTATGTGTTATTTATGAACAGAAATACAATACTCAATATTTCTATTGTATTACTTCACGTTGTATCAGAGCCATAACACTCCTATGTCACAATCAAGCTGCCCTACACACATTGTTGACAAAACACATTGAAATTGAATTGATTGTCATTTTGTTGACTAAATTCGTTGTCTCTAATGATCAACTAACTGGCTGATGTGTTCACAAAGAATCTTTAGAGGTCCATGAGTTGAATACATATGTAACAAGCTCCTTGGACCTTATGGTATATTGATAGGAACAATAAACAAGGAATTGAAAGAGGGATTTGAAAAGCAAAAAGAAGCTTCAATTTCAGTAAAATGGAAATGCATATACAATGAAACAAATCAGAGAAGTTAACCTTCCTGCCCAAGCTATTGCTAGCCGATTCTTTCTAACCAAAACCCACTACTATGACTCTTATTTATACCTAGCTAAGGTGTTTCTAGAATGGGGGTGTAAAACAGTAAATAAGAATTATTCCAAATAAGTCCCTCCATCTTTGCCCCTATATAAATTTATAAGACCCATTCTCTATCATACATACGCTCCAGCTTGAGGTGGAGTGTTAGAATACGACAACCCTCCCTACTTCATGTTTGAGGGGTTTTAGTCTCATGTTTATAAATATGTGTACTCTTGTATCAGTTCAATAACACAAATACAATACTCAATATTTCTATTGTATTACTTCATATTATGCCTAAGACTTAACCTGCAAACTTATTTGTGATTTACTGATATGCCCAAGCATTGGGTCGAATAAAGTTGAAGGAAAGTGGACTACATGATATCAAAGAATTGATCATCTTAAATCATCAATACATGATCCATCAAGATAATGCATTTCCTATAGACTACATTACATTGAACACTCCAATACCATTGATTAAGGAGGATGAGACACAATGGAAATAACAAAAAATCGCAAGTCCTAAACCTTGCTCTGATACCATGTAAACAAGGAATAGATTGAGGCTAAAATATTCTATTCATGTATTTTACAATGAGAAAATACAAGATATAGAGGTAGGAAACCCCTAAATGGAGAGAAACCCTATGGGCCCATGGGCTAACTAGGCCAAAGCTAATCAGTATCCATCAGTCTCATTCTCCATGATCTTTTGTATTGAAGTGCTCAACACATAAACACCCTTTAACATGGTCAACATTTAATGCATTTTCTTTTGCCATTTAATTTTGGATATAGATATAGATATAGAATTTGTATGTATCTGCACTTCTATTGTTCTATTGAAGCTTTATATCTTTCCTGAAAACTAAAATTCATCATCTTTTGTCCAATTTCTAACAAGTTCAAATTTTTTTTTTTCTCATTTCAGTAGTCCTTTGTTATTACATCTAACTTGGTTTCAGGTTTATTTTTGTGGACAATGTATTGCAGGTCTATGTTCACCCATATGTACTGACCTTTCATCATACAGGAGAGGATATGCAACAGAGAGGCAGAATGGTCTTTTAATAGGTGAAAAACTGGATTACTTGCAATCCAAGCTTCTTCAAGCACTTTTCTTTGGTATCTCTAAACCATTAGGGAAAATTGGCATGTGGTTTGCTCAGGTAATGCCTTATTCTTTGGGATATTTGAAATTTCGCCTAAATGCAAGAAATACCAATCTACTTTTATTATATTTTTCTTATTAAGGCACTATACTTTGAAAAATATACATCATACTTTTTTATTTTTTTTCTTATTAGGATATAATCTTTTGAAAGGTCTACCTAATATATGCTTTGTATTTGGATGTCATTGCTATAATTGGATAGAATTCTTAAAGTACAATGTTGTAAATTAGCATCCTATTTTCATTCGTTTCTTGTTAAGGCATTGTGTTTTGAAATATCTTCCTAATTATGGCATTTACTTTCAACTCTTTTCTTATTACGACATTATACTTTTGAAAAACTACCGACTTATAGCATTGTATTTTCAACTTTTTTCTTATTTAAAAAAAAAACATAATTATAGCATTGTACTTTCATATCACTGTACAATTATAAGCTTTTCTGTTTAAAATATCTACATAAAAAATACATCATTGTAAATGTAATTTGATTTTTTTTGTTGTAGGCATTTGAAGATAGCATCAAGGGACAAGATTTAGAGGTTTGGATTAAAAGGGTGAAAGTTTGGTTGAAGGAAGTGTCTGTTTTTAGAAAATCATACATATTTGATGAACAAATGGGTGATGATGATATAATAAAAGGGAAAGGGGTTGAGGAAATGTCAGATAAAGAGCTTCCCATTTGGCTTGCTGCTCAAAGGGCTGTAGCTCGTTATGAAGGAATCTTGTCATCAGCTGGGCCCCGTGGCAGGCTCTTGAGGAAATTGCTGACGTGGACAGGACTTATTCCCTCCTTGCCTGAAAAGATATTCAACCTTGACTCTCATATTACTGCATCTGAATCGTATTTGAGGTTGGTTTTTTTACTTAATAACTGTTTGTTAATTTGGATAAATGATGTTTAAGAAATAGGCTTAATCTCATAAAAGACCTTATATTTTGTGTTTTTTTCCAGATTATACCTCAAATTTAATTTTTTCCTGAAAAAGACCTTGTATTTTTTCATTTTTTCCGATCCGGCCCTTTTAGTCATTTTTTTTTTCCAAAACAATTTGTAAAATGTGAGGTTTTTTTTCCGAGAAAAACTAAAAAAGTTGAGGGTTTATTTGGAAGCAGTTAGAAGGTTGAGGGTTTTTTTTGGAAAAAAGACAAAGTTGAGGGTTTTTTTTTTCGGAAAAAATACAAGGTCTTTTTCAAGAAAAATATAAAGTTAAGGTTTAATCTGGAAAAAACACAAAATATAAGGTCTTTTATGAGATTAACCCTAAATAAATTACTACTTTTTCTTTATAACAACTAAAGAGTATTATTTGTATTATAAGTTATTTAGGTTTTAACTAGTTTTTATTTTTTTATTTTTGTAAATAAAAGTTTGTTAATTAATAACTAGAATAATGTTATAGAATTGAGTTAAAATAACATTTGTATTTATTCTACGAATAATATAAAAAGCTCATTCCATTCCTACATCAATTTTATGTTAAGAAAGAAAGTAATATAAAAATTGTATATGCAGACCAATTTTCTTGTCAAGGATATCACTAAGTGACATATGGGAGCCTGCTTCAAGAAAATTCTGTGAAAATAATCCATGGAAAATGTTGAAGACTGCTTTTTCAATTTTTTTGTCAAGAACAGTCCTTCAGGTATTTCACAATGACAAATCACACTTTTTCTTTCCACTTTGTTATAAACTCTATAAACACTATTGCTCTATTAACCTTATTATCCACATCATAATGTTGTATGTGAGGTTTAGAGTTTGGATTTATGTATTTTTAACGTTTTTTTTTTATTATCTTTCTTTAAAATATAACCTTAAAGAATAATTTGAAGCTTTTGTGGTGATAGGAACCTGCATTCCAGGAATTGATTTTGCTTTATACAAAAGAAATTGAGGAAAAGGAAAGCATAGATCAAACTCCAGTGTTACAGTTGAAGATCTATGAAAAGATCCCTATACCCGATTTGCCAGTTAATTTTTAAACCTTTGTTTTGAAAATTTTCAATTAATTTCAAAAATATAACATTTTTTTTTCCATTTGTAGGTTATTTTCCCTCACAAGAAGCTGTCTTTTCGCATCTTGGACACGGTAAATATAATTTGAATATGATATTTTTTTTCTATATCTGTGTGTGTCTTTATGTTTGCATTCTTTTCCAATCATTTTTTTAGGGTTTTATGCAGAAAAGTCCCACTATTTTGGGAAATTTTTTGATAAAGTCCTAAATTTTTATTTTTGATCAGAAAAGTCCCGATTATTTAATATTTTGTCCAAATTAACGAAAAAGTCTTTATTTTTATTTTATCAGGAAATGACAGATTATCGTGTAAAATTAAATAATCAGGACTTTTGTGTTAAAAAAAATTAGGACTTTATCAAATTTTTTCTCAAAATAATGGGACTTTTCTGCATAAACCCTTTTTTTTTGTTTTTTTATAAAGTAGGCTAATTGATCTGGTTTGGTGATTTTGTTGCTTAAATGTTAATATTTGGTAATTTTATGCAAATTTATGAACACCCTTTTCTTTTCTTCGAAGCTTTGAGTTACTTTCCTTGGTTTTAGGCTTTTATTAATAAAATTATATCCTAAATCTTGAAAATTTCAAATCTTTTTACACACCCATTTGAGGATCCAAATTTCTTAACTTGTATTTATTGATATTTGATCTTTTAAACAACAATTCTAGAAATTTAGTTGTCCTTATAAAGTATATTTAGATACTTTTTTAAATGATTGAATTGCTTTGTTTGCTTGTTGTAAAGGTACGTTTGGATGCTGCATCAATCTTGGGGCTATTAGCTTACTTCATAAACTACAAATTTGAGGACATAAAGTCATCCCCGTAAGTATGCTCTTATTTTTATTTATTTATTTATATTATGTAAGTCTCTTGTTAAAAAGACTCTGAAGGATGCAAGAAATAGCAACATACTTTCATTTATATGTGTATTGTAGCATCCTATTTTCATTTATTTCACCTTCACCATTCTACTTTCAACATATTGAGTGGTCAATATATTTTCATAAGTTGTATATCTAACCCCTTCTACTTTAATGATATTTCATTTTACCCCTTTAACTATGATTTAATTTTTTTAATATTTTTATTTCTTTACTAATTAATTATTCCTATTAAATATTTAATGACATCTCATTTATAAAATATAAATTTTATAATAATATTTTCAATGTTTTTATTTTATTTTTGTAACCATAACATAATTTTTTTTGTTTGCATTTTACGTATTTAAATAAAAAGCCGATATAGTTGTATTTATACATGCGTATTAAAACATGATTTATGTTTAAAAAAAAATTGAGTAATTCAATTAATGCAGATCAGCAATACTTCTAGATGTGATTGCAGCAAGTGCTCTTGTAATATATTTGTCACGTATAATTCTGGGATACAAACAGACATGGGATCGATATCAAGTATCTCACTATTTCTTCCTTAATAATAATAATAATAACAAGAATCTTGAATTTCTCAATCTCATTTTTCAATTTTCTTTTTCTAGCTTTTGGTCAACAGGACACTTTATGAAAAGACTCTAGCCAGTGGTTTTGGATCTGTTCACTTTCTTCTGGATGCTTCTGAACAGCAACAAGTGAGGAATTCTAATTCAGTAATTCTCACACATTACTTGTTTTAAAAAAAACAGATAAATTACCTGAAATATCAACATAGCAACATACTTATTTTCTTTTCATAATAGCAACATACTTACATTCCTTTATTGATAAGTACACTGCTTATATTGGTAGTGAAACGTAAGTATATTGCTATTTTGGGTACTGAAAGTATAAGTATGTTGGCCAAATGACTAGTATACCCTTCATTCCAATTAAACTTTATGTGCAGTACAAGGAAGCCATTTTGGCATATGCCATTTTACTCAAATCTGGGAGTACCCAGGTTAGATTATTATATTCTATTTAAGTGACAATTCAAATGTTTTTTTTTTTTTTTTTTAATCACATATTGCATTTTCTAGGGCTTTTTTTGGTTGTGGGGATGAGGAGGGCATTTATGTCTTTTGCACACAATGTCCTTAATAAGGAAAAAAAATATTAAAAGTACAATGCCATAACTAGGTAGATTTTTCAAGTACAATGTCTTGATAAAAAAAAATAATAATAATTGAAAGTACAATGCTGTAATAAAAAGAAATGTATTAGTGTGTTGCTATTTCTTGCATTTGTCCTTTATAGTGTTAGTAAACTCTAGTTTAGATGTTTTGAGATTGTAATGTTATTATATATATTTTTTGTAGGCCACTTTTGCAGATAGTGCTCGAGATCAGTGTGAAAGATTTATGTACGATGTGTTCAGAAAGAAGGTAATGAGACAAAATACATTACTTTTTTTATTTGTAAAATTGGTATAAATGTTGATAAAAAAAAAAAAAAAAAAAAAAAAACAGAATGGTCGATTTAAAATATTTCAAAGGAAGCATCAAACTTCATTAACTTATAGCAATTCATTGATACAGTTGGGTTTTCAAAGTTGAAAAAAAATGAAAGTACAACGCTATAGTTTGGTATATTTTTCAAAATACAATGCTGTAATAAAAAGAAATAATAGTAGGGTTTTATAATACACAAATGTAGTTATATCTTGCATTTAGCACTAGATTTTACGAGCAAAAATGAAAGAAAATCTTGTCATAAAATATGTGTATTTTTTATATAGGTTGAAATGCCGATTGATAAAGCTGTAAATACATTAATGAGATTGGATCTTCTTATAGAAAAAGAAGTTGGTGGAAGAGTAGGATTACTACCAATTCCTTGTTCCGAGGCCTACATAATCCTCAAACAACGTTGGAACAGTTTTGTTAGTTAAGTTTGTTCATAATTAGGTTATACAGATAAAGTATATGGGCCCACAGCCAACATGGGAAAGGTAAATCACAATGTCCCTTGATGTACACATACTTTTCATCTCCTTGTGAGTATCACAAGGTCAAGCATGCGGGATTATCAATAGTTTTGTACAATTATGTCATAATGTTTGTTAGAGATGTTATTTAAAGTGTTTGTATTTTTTTTCCCAAAGGTATATGTACAGTTTAGAAATATGATCTTGTTATGGTTATAATACTTTTCTTATCTTTTCATGCAATTATTTAATCTTCATAAATCTCAAATATGATCCTATACACTTAATCAAAACTAAGGCTTAATCAAAACTAAGGCCATCTCCAATAGTTAACATTTTAAAGACCTGTTACTTTTGCCACGTTAGTTTTCTAGTAACCTTTATCTATCAAAAAACTTTTGTAATAAATCTTCTCCAATGGTTGAAAAATATTTATTTATTTATTTATTTTATAAATTAACTTATTTATATTTACTTTCTCATATGTTATATAAACTCCTACTATATAATTTGTCTATTTGCAACTCTACGTAATATTTTTTGAAAATGAATTTAGCTGATATTAATTTTTTTAATAAATAACAAAACGATAAAATAGTATGTTTCAACAATGTTTTTAATCTTTGGTATTTGCATCATTTTGAAAATTGAATTTTATTTTTTTTTATGATAAAATTATTCAAATATATTTAGTATATTTAATTAAATTGATTAAATAATAAAAAACTAATGAAAAATTAATATCTAAAAACACTCCTCCCCAATGCTAAAATGTTTTGCAAAAGCTCATCAAGTAGGTACAATACTTAACAAAAACTATGTCAATCGGAGATGCTCTTAATAAAGTTTACGATCAAATTTTGGTATACAAATTGTATCCTCAAAACTTCATTTAGTTAGGATTAATTTTATAAACTTCTTTTTCTTTGAACCGCAGGAAAAAATTGTAAATTGATTAAATAAACATTTAAAATAGTTTCTTGGTTTTTTCAACGTTAACCACAAATTAAAAAAAAAGTTGCACTCATTTTGGTTACACTAAACTTTTTAAATATCGCCAACATATTTATTTCAAATGCAAGTTGGAATAACAATAGCTAGCTAATAGACCATTAAGAACTTAAACCTAAACACTCATAGAATTTGCCAGAAGCGATTCAATAATATGGATCATTTCCTTTCCGGCATGATTGTAATCGTCACCACGTTTATACAAAACATCACAAACTCGTGCTAGGTTGATTGGAGGCATGAGCAGAGGTCTCGGTATATCAGTTGGCCTTAAGGACTCTTGATTTATAACTTTCCATGAATCTTCGACTTGTATTGAAAATATTTCACGTGTTTGTTCCTCCGAGATACCATATTGCTTCATGTAACATTCAATGCTAGAAGCTACATGGTTCCTTTCTTGTTCCTCCTGTAGCATTGAAAAAAATTGCTTCAAATAACCTTATATTGTATATATGTATACGTATCCATATATAATTAGTTTATTTTTCATTATGCAAGTTTAATTAACACACCTCGTGGGTAGCAATATCATCCATGAGCCTTAAAATCAAACATGAAGCTTTCACAAGAGGAGGATAGGTGGACACCCATTTGAATGTATCCTCGGTGACCAAATCATTGCCATGCACATAACATTTTGCTATTATCATGCCGTAAGCACATGTTACCATTGTAACTGACATGTGTTCTTCTACGGTAGGAATGTAGCCCTCTTTTGCCCATTTGGCTTCGATTAGGAGATTTCGAGTGTACTCTTTCACCTGGTTGCCAAATGAGTGAAATGATGGATAATTAGATTATTATTTTCATAATGATTTGAATTTGTATACTAGGAGAAGAATTATTTAATAAAAAATAATTGATATTCATATTAATTACATACCATCTCTTTAGTATAGTAACTATGATATGCTTTCCCTTTCGGTTCTAGTACTTCCTCAGTTTCTTTGTAAACATCCAAAAGTTCTTGATATATGATTTTCATGTACTCAGGAAGTGTATCAATGCAGCTTGCCGACCATCTATATATACGACAAAATGATCAATATATATATATATATATATATATATATATATATATATATATATATATATATATATATATATATGTCGTTTTACAATATCATGGGAATCTATTGCATGTTTCGTTAACTATAAATATATATATATATATATATATATATATATATATATATATATATATATATATATATGCAGCTTGCCGACCATCTATATATACGACAAAATGATCAATATATATATAATATATAATATCTATATATATATAATAGAATATAGATATGTCGTTTTACAATATCATGGGAATCTATTGCATGTTTCGTTAACTATAAATAAATGCATATCACATACCTTTGAACAGCTTGGGTAAATATCTCAAGCTCTTCGTAGGTACCATAGTTATCATACGTGTCATCCAATATGATAACAAGATTGCATGTTTTCATTAGAAAGATCCTAGCATCAGAATATTGAGGCTCAAAATAGACGGCCAATATCCAAAAGTAGCCTTCTACCAATCTGTCCCGAACATAAGGTAGCTTGTTTTGTAAATCCAAATTCTTCCACCATCTATTTAGACACATAAAAGTGAGCTCATGAGAAGAATTAAATGAATCGATTAACAAATTAAGGAGATTGATTAAGGACCCTTCCAGCTAATCAATATGATTTGTGTGCGTTATACGTAGCCATTAGTATCAAGGTGATCAATCTTAATTTACATTAAAAAATTATAGAAGTTGTTAGCATACGTACTTGCTGATCTGGCTGAGCTCCTTTTTGTGCATGGATTGAAGTAAATTGAAATCCAACATAGAAAACTTTAGGAAGGCCTCATTATGGGAAGCTTCTTTCTGGTAGATGGGTATGTAACGCAAGGCCTCTAGCCTTGGTAACCTTTTGCGAAGAGGTTGTTCTAGTGCTTCTTCTATCTGAATCTTAAGAGACGCGTCCTTACACAGATTATCATTAGCAATCGTAGGCAGCTTCATACAAAGAAAGCATGCCTTGAACATCTTTTCTTACAGATTCCATGAAATTTCCCTTGCTGTCCATATACTTCTTGAATATTCCTGCAACGTTATATATAAAAGGGTACGTGATTAAGTATTGTACGTTTTCTTGCAGCTGCATTGATAATTGATTCCAGATAGCTAGTATTAGTTCACTAGAAAAGTGAGATGTTCATTGGTGTTCAAAGTTTTTGGATTTTTCTAGATTAGGTTTTTGCAATATATATTCCACGGATTTTTGTACACCAACTTTTTATTGAGAGAGAGAGAGAGAGAGAGAGAGAGAGAGAGAGAGAGAGAGAGAGAGAGAGAGAGAGAGAGAGAGAGAGAGAGAGAGAGAGAGAGAGAGAGAGAGAGAGAGAGAGAACTAGATTAAGTAATAATTAATTACCACTTGAAACATTAAAGCCTTGTTGACGTAGGAGTCTGAACCAAAGGGAGGTGCTTTGGAGGTTGCTATCATCAATCCAATGATCTCCATATGTAACAAAAATATGGTTTAAGGTTTCCTCGATTTCCTCCTCGAAATGATATGCTACACCGAGTCGTTGTACCACATCAATGAGTTGTATCAGCTTCACATGTTGCATTTGTCCGTTTGAAGCAGTATTGACTACTAGTTGTTTTCTCACTTCCTCTCTGAGTTCTTTAGCTTGTTGCTCCTCCCAAGCTTGATCCTCTCTCTGCATGCAAACATGAAACATTAACAAAAAAACGAATAGAGTGATTATTTTTGGGATGAGAGATTTAAATTCTAGTAATATACAGACCTCATTGTAAGTAAGAAACCGATCTCCCCAAATGCTACGATGGAAGTTCACTGTGCTGCGTATAACGTCTTCTTTACTGATATTAAGATCGGTGGCTGAAGAAGAGTAAGAACAAAGAACCGGAGAAGACATATTGTTGATGTAAGCTGATAAAGTAAAGATTAAGAGCCGAAGCAAGTGATAGCACAAAATTTGAATGATAGGAAGGAAGGCTGGATTGGGATATCTATATAGGCCATGGCAAGAGATATATCAGACGGTCAACTTCATCCCTTGCCCAATCAATGGCTGCTGCGGCAGCTTTCCGGTTTCTTCCACCGTTGAAGTCAAATGTTTTATGTTTCTTTGGTTGAATCTTGCTAATTAAAATAAGAAATTATATTTAATTGACATAAAAACAATAATTTTACACATCAGGGCAGCCTTGGTCCCATGACTTCCATTATTATATAATTAAAAACATTATCATTTACTATTATTACTACAACTAGATGTGAGACCCGAGTTTATTAAAAATAAAAATTTAATATCAATATTTAAATATTAAATATTTTATAAAATAACACTTTTACATAACATAATATAATCTTTTGGAACATTTATAAAAAAACAAAGTATTCTTTAGAGCATATATGAGACTTTATTATCAAATTAATAGAATGATTATCTTTCTTTATAAAACTCGTTAGAAATTTACGGAATATTATTTTAAAGAAATGGAAATTCCAAAAAAATGACAAGTGGAAAATAATAATTCTAAAACTCCCACAAAATTACATGTGGCAAAACTCTTGAGAATTTGACAAATAGCAAAAAAAAACCTTCATTTATTAGAGGATTTGAAAGTAAGTTATATTATATTTTTGGTCCCCATTTTAACGAAAATTTGTGGTTTGGTCCCAAAATATCATGTCTTACAGTTTTATACTTAGAGTTTTTATATGATTTTTGGTCCGTGTTCTAAATAAAATGATTGTAATACATTTCATTTGATTTTTTGTAAGAAAGTAGTTATTTATCTTTATATTGCTGTTATTTTTAAATAGGTCCACTACCTCACATCACCCCCTTACTTGTTATCGTAATGCCAACGAACAATCCCACCACCTCAGTCCTTCTTGGAATTCACCCAAACACAAAACTTGATAAAAACATAAGGACTTTAGGGTCAATATTCCCATCCCACCCCTTTCGTGTTACCGGGACACCAACCAACAAACAATCCTACCACCCTACCCCCAAACACAACCTTGTCAAAATATATGAATTCTATGAGAAACATTTCGAGGTGATTAGAGTTTTTTAAAAATAGGAAAAAGAACTTATCATAAGGTACACTTATGCCTAGCCGATATTGATTTTAAGGAAATGGACAGACCACAATTTGGAATGAGAAGTCAGATTTTTGTGAGAATAAGGTGGATATGACAGATGTCGATGCAAAAAGCTTGAAAACAATCAATATGGATGACCGCGATGGGTCCCTTGTGATCGCGTCCCTCATTACGAGCTTGTACACATGCTTCTAGAGCTACTCGATTAGCTACGGCACCGGGTGCATTTCCCCAAGGGTGCCCTAAAGTTCCTCCACCGAATTGTAGTACGGAATCATCTCCAAAGATCTCGGTCAGAGCAGACATATGTCAAACGTGAATACCGCCCGAAGCTACAGGCAGAACACCTGGTAGAGAGACCCAATCTTGGGTGAAATAAATACCGCGACTTCTATGTTTTTCAATTAAAATCATCACACAGTAAATCAACAAAGCCCAAAGTGATTTCTCTTCCCCCCTCAAGTTTACCTACTACGGTACTGGAATGAATATGATCTCCACCAGACATACGTAACGCTTTAGCTAGAAGCTAGTACACGAAAGTATATACCATGATTATTCAGTCTATCAATAACTGCATGCATTGCACGGTAGATGTGAATATCCGATCTAAAATACCCGAAATTCGAATATCTGATTTTTTGGATTCGGATTCGGATAATCATATTATAAATTTTCGGATATTTTGGATATCCCAAATCCATTTTTTTTAATTTACTTTTTTATAACATGTCATTTGGAAATGGAATTTAGAATAATTCATTATTTTTTATGAATGAAATAGAAAGGATTCGGGTCTTCTACTAGTTTTGATAATCTTAATTCTTTCTTTGTCGCTTTACATTTTTCATTCATGGTGATGCAATATTAATGTATAAGCATTTTGTAACATCCCGATTTTTCAATTAAAAATTTTCATTTTTAAAACATATCTAAATAACTTCAAAATATCATTTTCATTAAAATATCATAGTCTTACATTTTATTAAACATAAAAGAGAGTTTAGTGGAAGTCTAAAAACGTAATTGTTTCTTTGATGCGAGTACAGTCACGTTGGAGCCTTCCCACGATCAGAAGAACTACCTGAAAAACATTTTATCAACAATTGTAAGTCACTTTTTAGTGAGTTCCCCAAAATACCACATACAACAATATACACACAATGCATGCAAATAATTGCCTTCAGCACAAAACTGGTCCGGCCCCTTGGCCTTCAGCATAAAGTTAGTCCGCCTATTTGACCTTCGACATAAAATTGGTCTACCCGAGTATCTTGGCCTTCAACATAAAGTCGGTCCTCCCTCAACTTACAACATGATATGTCAACACACACACACACACACACACACACACACACACACACACACACACACATATATATAATATATATATATATATATATATATATATATATATATATATATATATATATATATATATATATATATAACAGACCGACAAACAATCAGTCCAACACAACAAACAACTAGCTAAACTACTATATTTGTCTATTAGCACACTACACACTACAGGTCACTACATCCTAACATACAGAAGATACATATTGTAATATGTAGTATAGTGAGAAAACTCACTTGAACAGCCTCGAAACAACTAAGTAGATTGGTTTGCAGACGGCTCAACCAGCGTGTAACAACCTATAATATACTATACTGGTTACTGACTATTTGAGCATAACATCTAATATTTAGATCCTTCACTAATCCAAAAATATACATTCATGGCTATCAAATAAGAATCATCCAGTCAAGATAGTCAGGAGGCAAGACCATTTCAGCATAAGACTTTTCTAAAATCCAACAACCAGATCAACGTGTCTATCCTAGACACCTCTCCCGTAAGTAGACAAATCAATATATTTAACTGGAATCAGTGAGAGAGTGACTAATCTAGTACTATAACAATGATTATGAATTAGGGTAGAAGACACAAGCTAGAGAGGGTTAGGTTACATCCTAGATGGCAGAAGAAGTTGCTTTATAACTTAGCCTCTAAGAGGGGAGATTGTTGAGATGAGAAGTCTAAATGAAAAGTCTAAAAAGTTACGACAATTTTGTAATGCGGAAAACATCGAAAGGATTCATAAGAGTTTACTATGTGGATGCTAAAACTTTTCGAAGATATGTGATTTCAGGAGATAGAAGAACGCGGAAGGCAGAAGGGCCCAAAACTCAGTTTGCGGAACAATTCTCAGCAAAGATAAGTTTTACCGAAATGCTTGTTATTACATTTCAGAGCACGTCGAATTTACAAAACTCTCATCTTGGAGAACAAGTTGACCTTGTAGCCGAATCTTTTATCAAAGGGCCCATAAGCACCGAACCCTAGGACTTTTTAGGTCAACTCCCCTATAAATTTCTCATCTATTGTAACTTGAATTGTGTGCAACAAGAGTTATTGTGAATGTGATAGCAATCGCCATTGTATTAGCATTCAAATTAATAAAAGAATCTCTAGCTTGACCGTGGTTGTAGCTTTATTATCAAGTGAGCCACGTAAATCATTGTTTATTGTTTTGTGTTGTCTTCGAATTCTACTGTTCAACTGGTTCGGAGCATCTTAGTTCTAATACTAATGTGGCAGCGTAGTAGTAATAATAATAATAATAATAATAATAATAAAACACTTGAGCTAATAAAATGAAAATAGAAAACATGCCAGCTAGATGTGCCATCAAACATAAATAAATATAAAAAAAGCATAAGGTAAGACTGTAAGACACGGTAAAAAAATTGTAATGTGATTAAATAGACATTTAAAATAGTAAGACACTCATTTTGGTTACATTAAACTTTTTATGCTGGCATAAAAATCAACTTCAGTCCCTATATAATAATACCCAACACATCATAAATCCATATTATGCCTCGTGTACCTAGAACATAACGAATATCTTTAAAAAAAAAAAAAAAAAAAAAAAAAAGTTAATGAAAATATTATTGCATGATATACAAATCCTTACAACAATCCCTACATGCTAGCCCTAACAGTAAGAATGTTAGAATCCATACTTAAGGTTTAATATGGTGTGATTTACCTGTCTCATGATGGTTGTGGGACTGGCTGGTTTTACAGATGTAGAATGTGGAAATGAAATGCATTTTTTATGTTACTTTTGTAGTAAAGCGCATATGCATTCGGGATATGGATTTTGGTAAAATGATTCTTCGGCTTTGTACCTTGCTCTTCCTTTAATCCCATCGGGTGCACTCTCTCTTTTCCTTGGACCACCTTGCCTGAAAGTTTTTACACTTGTCAATTATGAGGGCATTTACGTCTTTATGCAAACACAAGCAATTTAGTGGCTAATTGAGTCAGATCTAACTGAGTCAAGGCATGATCAAGTCAAACCCAACTTTTTACCAAACCCAGTAAGAGGCTATCAGACCAAATCAAAGGCTTCTAATTGTGGTATGTAATAAGATGCGTATCAAACAGCTTCTTATTCTTTGAAAAATCTACCCAATTATAGTAGTGACAATTGTTATAACAAAAAGAAATGAAAGCATGATGCTATAATAACCAAATAAAAAAACATTGCTATTTCTTGCAAAATAAATTATTAAGAAAAAATAAATTAAGAGATGAAAATACATGACATGACATGACCTTATCTGATGCAAGTGCTGAACACGATGTTGCAGTGATAGTCCTTCCTTAAGTTGTCCGCTTTCCAACTTATCAAATATTTCCACTAGACCTTTCCTGGTAATATCAAAATCAAAATCCCAATCATTGATTTAATTATATTTATGATAATGTTATAAATTATAAGAAAAAAAAAAGTAAAGTAGGTTGCTATTTTTTGCATTAGTTATACCTGTGAGGAGTAATGGTCTTACGGTGGCCTAGGAATCTGCGATGGCCTTCAACAGCTCTTGCCATGTTTCCGGAATGTGTTGGAATAAAGACATCGCTTTCAAGAGAAATCATATAATCAAGTGCTGCTGTTTGTGATGCATGATTCGCGTATATTTTCAGCTCTTCTTCACTTGCTATCATTTCCTGTCACATTCAGTTTTTCTTATCAATTGCTATTTAAGAGTAAAAAGTTAAATTATGAAGAGCAAACCTTGAATAAGAGGTTTGGGAAACGAGAAGTGAGGTCTGAAAGATGAGTTTTACCACCGTAAATTTCTCCAGCAGCAATATATACAGCTGTTGAAGGAGGATAACCAAGAGCCTTGAGAAAAATCCCAACCTCTTTGGGAGTTAATGGACATAATCCTGCAATTCTTTGCTCTGTTGAATTTATTTTCTTTACTTTCCAGTGATTTGTGTTCTCCCTGACAATCATAATACCACAAATAACAATCTACTTTCATTTCATACCAATAATACCACAAATAAAATGATATATAATTGGGTAGATTTTTCAAAGCATCTTCACAAGAAAAAAACGGAAAAGTATGATGGTGTAATAGAAATCAATGTAAGTAGGATGCTGATAATATACAAGTAAATGAAGGGTTAATCTCGTAAAAAAACATTATGTTTTGTGTTTTTTCTGGATTAAACCTCAACTTTATAATTTTCCTGAAAAAGACCTTCATTTTTCTGAGAAAACCCTCAAAACTTTTTCTTTTTTTTTCTTCGGAAAAAAACCCTCAACCTTCAAACTGGTTCCAAAAAAACCCTCACATTTTATACATTTTTTCAGGGGTTAATCTCAAAAAGGACCTTATATTTTGTGCTTTTTTCCGGATTAAACCTCAAATTTATTTTTTGCCTGAAAAAGACCTTGTATTTTTTCTGAAAAAGCCCGCAACTTTGGCTTTTTTTTTTTTTTTTTTGCGAAAAAAACCCTTAACCTTCTAAATGCTTCCAAATAAACCCTCAACTTTTTTAGTTTTTCTCGAAAAAACCCTCACATTTTACAATTTTTTTGGAAAAAAATGACTAAAAGGGCCAGATCGGAAGAAATGAAAAAATACAAGGTCTTTTTCAGGCAAAAAATAAATTTGAGGTTTAATCTGGAAAAAACACAAAATATAAGGTCTTTTTTCAGATTAACCTTTTTTCGGAGAAAAGTAACTAAAACGGCCAGAACTGAAAAAATGAAAAAAATGCAACGTCATTTTCATGGAAAAAAAATAAAGTTAAAGTTTAATCAAGAAATAACACAAAATATAAGGTCTTTTATGAGATTAACCGATAAATGAAAGTACATTGCTATCTTTTTGCATTTAGCCCTAAACTCTTCCAAGTATTCAAGTAAGCATATGTTTTGGATATAGTAGTTAACAAATTCCCTTGTAGTCATACATAAATTCATTAAAAACACTTTAATTTGGTAACATTAGCTTTCCAAAACACGAAAACGTTGCACAAATCTTTATATATACCCATATGAAATGCTAACAATAATAATAATAATAATAACAAAAAAAGAATAAATGTTTGACCTCAATAAGCTGAGCTCTTGAGATTCAGCATCAGAAAGGCCATATGTACAACCAGAAAAAGCCAGCATATCCTTCTCATATCTGAGATGCAGAGAAATATATCTTCCCCCTCCCCCATGCGATCTCAGCCGTTCAATTAGCTTCTGCGTTTGTCAGCATCATGTTTGCTCAGGGCCTAATATAAAATAGCAATGTATTTTCATTTATTTCTGTATTATATTTATAGCATCCTACTTTCATTTTCATTCTTTTTCTTAGGAAATGACTCCCTATATAACATGATTGCCGGTTTCTTGTTCGTTTAATATAAAATAATTGCGGTTTTTTTTTTCATGGGTTGTTCAAAAAATGAAAACCAATGTATTCTCTCTGTTTGTAAAAAATTGCCATTTTTGTCCTTTTCTGTTCAAAAAATGAAAAACCATGGCTTTATCATTAATGAGCCCACAATATGGGGACTTTTCTGAAGATTTACTTTTTCCTTATAAAGGCATTGTATTTTGAAGACTCTACCCAATTTATAGCATTATACTTTCAATTTTTTTCTTATAGGGACATTATAGTTTAAAAAAAATAGTGACAATTGCTTTGTATTTGGATAAGATTGCTGGAAAATATGTTTATAGAAGTGGGTCTATGAAGGGTATGCTTAAAATTTAAATAGGGCTAAATGCAAGAAACAACAAATGCACTTTCATTTATGTGTGTACTATAGCATCCTGTCACTCTACTATAGCACAATACTTCCAAATTTTTTTTTATTGAGGCATTGCCCTTTGAAAAGTCTACAAAATTATAGCATTAAACTTATATTTTTTTTTTCATTGTTAAGGCATTTAACTTTGCAAAGTCTATCCAATTATGGCAGTGAAAATCTATTTATAATTGGGTAGATTTTCTAAAGTAGGATGCTTTAATAAGAAGAAATGAAAATAGGATGCTATAATAACAATAATTATATAATGTACATTGCTATTTCTCGCATTTAATCCTATAAAATAGATCCCCACAGATAACTTTTTCAAATTAACCAGCATATGCAAGTTTTCAAACTTGATATATAAGAAATTGTACACAACTACACATTGTATCATCCAAACTCCTAGTTTAGTTTTTTTTTTAAATTTTCATCACACAAACTGTTACCAAAATTACAAATATAATTTTGTGCCAAAAATATGCATGATAATCATTTACTGAGGTAGATCTACCATACCTTTCCAAGGGTTTCGATAGAGGGATAAAATCGAAGAGCATGATAAAGAGCACGACAACGCAATCTCTGAATATCAATAGGTAGATCATTGTTTGCAAGTCTAGAATCTGATTTTGCAACATGAATCACCTGCAAAAAGTAAACTATTAATGCTATAAAAACTGAATAAAGTGTTGTATACATTCACAAAGTCTGTTTCTTTTTTTGTCTGAATGAACTGTAGAAAGCAATGAAAACTACATACCTGATAATCCATCCATAATTTGGTCATCTCCTCATAGTAACCTAAACCACCCCAAGATGTGAAGTGCTTCCTTGCTCGAGGAACAGAAACCAACTCAGTAGGAAGCTTCTTTATGATTCTCACATCCCCTTTTAAGCTATCAATGAAATGGTCCTCATCAAAGATATCTGAAAATACACTGCACAACAACAAATTAGGAATGTGTGTGTGTGAGAGAGAGAGAAAGAGAAGGAAGGAGGTAGGGAGAAATATTGTACAACTTAAGGTTACCTTTTGTCTTGCCAGAATGAGCGTTTATCAAGTTCAGGGATAACTAGGGTTGCATTCATCATCCGTGACACTGCTACCATATCAGCAATCTGTTAAAAAAAAAAAAGTAGTATGTTTTGTTCATGTTATTTATAGGTAGAGGATAATCATTAAACATTCAGCAAATGAAGGATTTCATGCTGAGTTTTAAATCAATTGTAGTGGAAAAACTCAAAAAAGAGATATCAAATACTCACACCAGTACGCATTTGATTCAGTCCGCCATTGCTTCTTACGGTGATATAATGATTATTATCTCCTCCTTGAATAGCTGAAAATGTAAAAATAAAAAGGTCTGATTATAAGTAATTAATCTCAGGTAAGGAAGCAACATCGCTAGTAATCAAATGAAAACCAATGAACAATGATACCTTGATATCTAGATGTAGGATGTACACACGGATGTAAACCATCACTAAAAGGGGTTTCCCAAAGTTTTTCACTAGACAGCTGCTTACACAAAAAAACATACGAACAATTTTTTAGTGTATATTTCAATCTCAGCTATGAAATTTTGATATTGAGCAGTGCAGAAAACGAAAATGATACCTGTTGTTGAGATACAAAGTCTGGCAATCGCAGATTTAGATTTTCTTCATCCTCTAAAATGCTTCTACTATAGAAATTGAATATGAAAATGAACACGATCAAGAGTACGAACAAGCGAAGAATTGTGAATGACGATGGAGATGATGGTTTCACTGGAAAGATTTTACAACAGGATGAAGATATCCCGAAAGAAGACGACGATGAACTCCCTCCTCGACTGGTAACCATTTGCAGTGCCTGCTCACTGAATCAGATCTCCATTCTCTCGTCCAACTCCAAGTTTATGCTCTGCGACGCTCCAAGGCATTTGTTTTAGCAAAAGGGCGTGTTCCCACAGGTCGGTGATATAATTTTGGGATATATTTTTTAGTAAATTACACTTATCGTCCGTGGTAATGTATAAAAATCATGTTTAGTCCCTGTTTTAAAAAATTAACTCCGGCCGTTTTTTATACCGCGTTTCATCCTTCGTTAGTTTAAATTTGCACACTTTATCCCTTTCGGAAGATAAAATGACTATAATCAAGGACGGACGCAAGATTTCATGGTAGGGGTTGCACGGGAAATTCAGGGATTGCATGGTAGAACAAAAAATAAAAATTTTAAAAAAAAATTTCCACTGCGGCCGGAAAAGTCAAGGGTTGTCGGTGCCACCATGGATCCCCTAGGTCCGCCCCTGACTATAATGCCATTTTAATTTCTTTTCGCTTATTTTTTATAGTTATTATTATTATTAACTATTAAAAATTATTTTAATCATTTACAAGAGAATCTCTCTCTCTCTCTCTCTCTCTCTCTCTCTCTCTCTCTCTCTCTCTCTCTCGAACAATACACACCACTACCACTGGAAAATCTGCACCACCACCGGAAACCCTCTTCCTTGTCTTTTTTCCTCAACAACCCCCGGTACACCAAATCAAATGATACCATCCAAAACCAAAATTGTCACACCCCCGGCCATCGGCGGAAACGCCCGAGGTGCGCGACGTAAATCAGTAATCATAGTTATTGAACATACATTGAACAATACAAGTATAATCTTCTATTATTACCGAAATAGAATTTAACATGGTTATTGCTAAATCGTGACACACGCCTAACAATCCGGCGTTTACAAAGGTATAATAAAAATAACAGAGAGTCTTCTGAGCGAACACTTCCGATCTGCTAAATAACCTGAGAATACATGCATTAAAATATGTCAACAAAATTGTTGGTGAGTTCTACAGGTTTGGAGACAATATTTTTATACTCAAAAATGTTTTATAAAATTTATCTAGTTGACCATCTTTTATAAATACGTATTTTTCTATCAAAAATATAAAATAACAGAGTTATAAAAGTAGATTTAGACTCATTTAGAAATATCATTTGCTCAAATTCAAAAATACACCATCTATTAAATATATAAGTAAATCAAACTTATAACAAATTTTTACGGTTCCCATGACCAAAATGTTTTTTATATAAGGATATTGAATACCAATTTGTATAAAACAAAATCATATCACACTTTGTGAAAACATAAAATAGCCAAATTTACTCTTGAAACCTTGTACAAGCATTTGTATAGTTTATATGTAAAACTCATAAGTTTCAGATTTATAAACTTTGTAGATTCGTGTCGTAGTATTAATCAGGTGTTACCTTACTTAATTTGGAAACCGATACTTAACTAGTAGGGCAAACTCCTCCCACATAAATATTGTGTTTTCGTATAAAAACAAATGGTTTTTATAAATAACTTATTAACTGTAAGTTATTAAACCTAAATCAGTTGTGTCATGATATTAATTAAGTGTTATATGACTTAATTTATGGTATTGACACTTATCGTTTTGAGTCACAACTATTCTACTACGTACAGTCTCTTTCAACTAGTGTAAGTGAACAAAAACCCTATATAATTTTGATATCAATTCTATACGGTAACAGGACAAACCGAATTGCGTCTATAATGAGCTCAAAACCGAACTGCGACGCGACACCTCTGCACTAGCACTAAAAGGGCGTGCTAAAAGTTCCACATCAACGCTTTATCAACGCAGTGGAGTAAATAATGTTCCACATCAACGCTTTATCAATGTCGTTGAGTAAATAGTGTCGAAACGTCAACGCCAAACTTGTCTCGTCAGGCGATGGTTGTAGCTAACAACATGTGGGCGGGATGTCAGCCCGTATAGACCAGTGTCGTCAATCTATACCTAACGTTCCACGCTCCATACGAATTAACGGTTATAATGCAGAGGAGTGGGGATTAAGACACACAGTCTTAGTATGGTTACAAACATAGCCCATGCAGCTTAGGAAATTATCCTAACTCATAAAGCTTTTAAAAACAAACGTAGCTCATATAGAACGTCCCGTGGGTGTGATGGATCCTAACAATGTGTCTAGACATCCTAATCCTAAACTTTTCGTTATAAGTTCTTTGAACACTTATAGGTCTTCAATGTTTAGGAATATTTATTGATGTAATTCTCTTAGTATTTGAGATTCGTAAGACTTAATATATTCATACATTTTATTGTCTGTCATGACGAAATTCTAGCAGCCTAACGGCTATTTTTATAACTATTTACAGGTTTCAACAAATGTGAAACCAACAATGTCCATGATAATTATAATTAACATGACCAATACAATACAATATTTCGCAAATAACGACTCTTAAGTCTTGAAGTCGATCATGTTATTTATTTCGAAAAAAATCCATAATTTAGTAAAATGAGTTATACTTTTATAATTAATATAAAAATATATTAATCAATTTTTATATTCATTTTTGCATAACTTATATATATTAAGAGTTAATTTTCGATAACCTTAACTATTAATTATACAATTTCATAAATTTAACTTTTCCACCAAATATGATAATGTACCGTTATTTTAAGCGCAAATAATATTTTTGGTCATTTTTATATCTTTTCATGCCTCCATGACATACTTTAACTTATACATATAAAATTATCGTTTCCGTGACTTTTAATCTTAGCTTGTGTCATTATAACATTCTACTTTTGTTTATGATTTTTCTTATGTTTATATAACCATTTTTGATAATAAGATCAAATATGTCATAAATAGTATTCTACATAATTTATTAACCTTATAAATGATTATTACTATTTTTGTGGTTATTTCACAAATTTTATAATATTGGAAAAATAGATTGCCATTTTGTGTATAAACACTTGAAAATCATCAAACTTGATAAGCATTCATATATTCTCCCCCAAATATGAAAAACCGTAAAAGGGGCCGTAGAAACTCACCCTTGAAGCGTAAGTTCGATTTGTCTGCAGTTGGTTCATTCGTATGAAGCTTCATGTGAGAAACCGAATCTTGACATCTTTTTGAACTAAAATAAGCCCCGGGACGCAGCTCTCAACTGCTCCTCTTCTGTCGGCAGTGAAACTCGAAGGAGTGGGGGACGCAACTACAGTCGCCGATCGGTGTGGGGTGTTTTAAGGTTGAGCTTCGACGGAAAGGGTGGAGAGGGGAGGTTAGATTGGAGGCGGCAGTTCTCTCTAGCGAGCCCCTTTGTGGGTTTCTTTCTCGTCGTTGGTAACTTCAAATCAATAGGAGGAAGAGTAGTAGCAGCACCAGGGAGTGGAGGTGTTTGATTGTTCAAAGTCTACGGGAAAAAAATAAGGAGGAGGGGCTGCAACCTTCTTTCCTATGATCGGAGGACCAACACACCTCTGGTGTGCTTCTTGGCAGTCCATCGGAGAAGAACAAGAAAAGAAAGAAAAAAACGAAGAAAGAAAGTTTTGAGAGGATAGAGAGATGATCGGGAGTACTAGAGAATGAGAATGTAGCTTCAATTTGAAGCTTTTTCTTGTACCTCCAAAAGTCAAATTGACTTAATGACTCATTGGGGGATATTTTGAGTAATATAACATGTGCATTATATCTTCAAACTTTAGTAATCAAATCGTAAATCTCGTTTCTCAATTCTCATATCGTTTCATGAAATTTTTCGAAAAGTGCTTGCTTAAAGTCTCGATCGTTGTGATTCCAAAAACTCAAATGGAATTCAATTCCGATATAACGAACTTTGTGAATTAACGTTTAAAGTTTCACGATTAATTTGGATCTGATTCGACAAATTTTATCACCCTGATTTTGGTCGAGATTAAAAATATGATAAAATAATATACCATAATTTGAATTCAAAAACATGTATAAAAACAGTTTAAGAGATTCGTAGCTATTCCCGACGAAGCAGTGCATAGTTCGTTTTAGGAAAATCAGATAAATACTGATCTTTATAATTTTAAAGAGACGTAACTTTCTCATACGTTCTCCGTTTTGGACATTCTTTATATCCACGGAATCAGGAGAACGTAATTTATATAAATTTCTTATTCATAACTCTCAAATAAACTTAATGTAAAAATTTATTTTTAACATCACCAAATAAATTTAATTTTCGGCGATTCTCGATTCGATCTTCAACGATAGATGATTTGAGCAGTTTAAGATGTTCTAAAACTAATTATGAATATAATATCTTTAATATACATTATAAAAATAAAATTACACACAATTGGTCCTTAACACATAGCGGTCCGCGGTGGTTTGACCGCCGAACTCTGACCAATTTTTACCAATTGTCACATTATCCCCCGTTGAAAGGAATTCCGTCCCGAAATTCAACGTGTAGATAAAATATTCTAATGTTGATTTCAGCCGCATAGCTCTAGATTAGATAACTGATCCAATAGATGACTTTACCACAAGTCACAATTGGCTTTGATAGTTTTGATATGGCATACCCTCGGAGGATGAAGAAGTACCATAGGAGTAACCCGAGGAGCAACCACTGCCACGATGGCGAAGAAATCTACGAGGAAGAGGAGAGTGGGGTCAACCTCAACAAAAAGCTGAGGGAGTTGTCCCCATCTACCCATTTAAAATCCGGTTTGGTGCTTATTTAGGCAATATACGAGGGGTTGTAAATTATCAAAACCAATCTATGGACGTATTGTTTTCTAACTCTAAAAATCACATGTCTACTCTCTCTTTCCTCCGAATGCGGAAAGCTAGATGTACATAATCCCCGTCGAAGATAGTGACATCCCAATCTGTCAGCCAATCACTCAGCCTCCGGCTGCAATCCTCGATCCGATCATCACCATCGCTTCATTCTTGAGTCTCGCGACTCAACTAGCACTACCTCGAGCAAGGCCCTCAAGACCTCAAAATCAACTAACTCATCTGGGTCTGCACCATTCATACCTAAACTGACATGGCCACTAAGGCCCTAACAATTCACCATACCCATCCTCAGTCTGAACACCCATAATCGATAAACTGA